ACTCCACCCCCAAGAATCCCCCGCCCAGCTGGGGTCCACCCATCTTAAAGTTGCCAGGGCTGAGAAACACTGGCATATGTATTATTCATAAAGTGATACTAAATTGTTAGAAAATCATCTTCAGCTAAACCCAACCTTTTTTCCCATCACCTTCTCCATTAAGACTATTTGCCAACATTACTGAATCCAACTTAATATTGAAAGATTAACTGCTGTCTTCCAAATGCTGGTTATAAGATGTTTAGGGGCAACTAAGAAAAATACTATCTGTCCTTTATATAACAATTTTTCATTTGCTCCTTCAAAAGCTGATAATAAGGGTAATCTAAGACCTCAGGTAACATCTTGTTTAATTATTTTCCCCTCTTCAATTATAAGGCTTTTCTAAAACTTTTAGAAAAGTTTTTTTCCTGAAACATTTGCATTTTCACACAAGATCAACATTAGGTAAATATGTTCCAGTTGTGTTACATCCTCGCCAATGCTTTCAGTTTGCTATTAATAAACTGAGCCTCCTACACGTATCAGCTTTAATGAACGTTCCCTAATTTTAGCTGATATTGATTTAAGCACCTTTTTTGCCCATGCAGAAGTTCAAAACTTATGAAGTAAAGTGAAGTCAGTTTTATGATGCAAAGTTAAATTTGTTTTCCAAACCATTTTTAAATCCTCTAGAGCAGTGTTTCTCAACCTTGGCAACTTGAAGACACATGGACTTCAGCTGCCAGTGTGGGAGTTGAAGTCCACACATCTTAAAATGGCTAAGAATGAGAAACACTGCTCTAGAGTACCTGTAAATATATCAAGTAAAATCTGATAGATATTGGGGCTTATGTGCATATAAAAAGGAGCAGGGCTTCAATCAGATGGCTATAGCTGTCATCTTGACTTATCTGACCTCCCCTTAGATCATGATATCTAAGTGATCTAAGGTCACTTAGATATCATGATTAATACCACTGATGGACCTAGATGATTTCTTGTGTAAGAACCAACCTTCCTTCCTTCCTTCCTTCCTTCCTTCCTTCCTTCCTTCCTTCCTTCCT